ATATATATATATATATATATATATATATATATATATATATATCGTGATGTAGATGTGGTACACAGATGAGACCAGCTATAGGTGAACTACAAATCCCATTCATACACCTCTAAAGTTACACACCAGAAGTTCTTGCAATAAGTTTCTAACAATGGGATGACGGGAATGAGTTCAGCCATAGCCCCAACCTATTTTTATACCTTGGTTTATCTATAAAGAAAGGATTGCCTTCTTTTGTTCGTTGCATTCATCGCTTCTCCTTTAGGATTCATCACCTCTGCAGAGGTCAAGTTTTCATGGCGTAGCTCCACACTTTCGGTTCTGACGTACCGTAATTGATTCACCTTTCCAAACGGAAGGGATTGTTTGGCTGACCTAGATTTTCTTAAGTTCAGGCAGGTGCAAATATCTCTTTATTCACTCTGGTGATGGAAGTCCTTTTTTTTGCCATAATATGCAATAGGACTAGTCAGTTGTTGCCAGCTAAAGAGGTCAACTGAGTTATCTTTCTCAATGGCCCTTTGTGTTGCTCGTCTGCCCTTGGTTACAGCAAAGCATCCCATTATCATTGTGAAGTCGACCAGGATTGTATCTGCCTGCCCTCAAAAGCATTTCACTGCCCACAGTACAGTTTCTTCTGGTTTTCTGATGTATCTCAAGAAGTGAATACCTGGGCAGCAATAAGAAATTCATCACCCTCAGTGAGCTTCAGATGGCATTTGACTATTCTAGTTTCCTGATAGATAATCCAGCTTCTTTTGCCCCGTAATAACAATGCATCGTGGCTATTGTGTACTTATAGACATCTTTTCAGCTTTCAAGATTTTCCCTTTCTCATTTGCAATGTTTTTTTTTTTTCTCTTTAAATTCTCTCCCTCTCTTGTTTACTGTTTGAAATTCTCTGGGCTCAGGAGATAGCAATAGCCATAGCACTTAGACTTATCTACCGCTTCACAGTGCTTTACAGCCATCTCAAAGAGGTTTACAGAGACAGCCTCTTGCCCCCTCAACAATATGGGTCCTCTTTTTAATGACCTCGGAAGGATGGAAGGTTGAGTCAACCTTGAGGCAGCGAGGGTTGAACTGCTGGCATTCTGCAGAATTAGCCTGCAACACTACAGTACATTCTAACCACTGTGACACCATAGCTCAGATATGGAATATGTCCTCCCTCAGAGCATGAGTGGCATCAGCAAGCATGGAATGGTAGAATCTGTTAATGTAAGGCATTATGTTGATCATCAACTTTGACAACTGCATTAGATTAATTCATGGAGTATTGATGCTTTTAATCCTGGTGGCTATGAATTGCCTTGTTAGAGGCAACGCAAGTCTGAAAATCTGTATCGATGTATATGAATACAAATAAGAAGGTGCTATCCTGCCTGTGGGGCTTTTCAGAGATACACTGGTTATTGACCAAGACAACATGGATCCATCAAGAGACATTATATGCCCACAAGCTCCCGTTAACAGGTTAAATGGCAGAATGCGTACACAAATGGAAACTTAAGATGGATAGAGAATTGCAAAGCAACATCACAACTGTACAGAAAAATAAAATATTCGCCCTGCCCACATTGCAAGTGAAAATATTGGCTAAAAAAATAGCCAACATGTATTAAGAAGTAATTGTTAACCCTATTATGGAGGAATTTAATTTTTTTTCTATAACTCATTGAAAATATGAGTCCAAGAGTGGCAGTTATCCAGTGAACAGTTTATTTGTTTCCAGAAGGGTACCAAAATTATTGGGAAAACTGTTTATACCACACTGTGAAATCATGTTTATCCGTAATCAGAATGCTATGTGTGCAGTCCTTATTTTATCAAGATGGATTTGAAATAATTGGAAAGGAATGTAAAGGGTAACTGAAAAGGTCAGGATATAAAC